TCACTGTAGCTCACTGCAGCCTCGAACTTCTGGGCTCAAGCAACGCCCCCCACCTCAGCCTCCCAAGTAGCTAGGACTACAGACGTGTACCACCATGCTTGGCCAATTTTAAAAAATGTTTTATGGACATGGGGCCTGCTTTGATGCAGGCTGAGAGCACAGCCTGACAGCGGTATCCCACAAGAGTCATTTGCCTGGGTGATCTTGAACTCATGTCCTCAAGTGATCCTCCTCTGTCAGCCTCCTGAAGTGCTGGGATTGCAGGTGTAAGTCACTGTCCCCGGCTTTGTTTTTTCTTAGAGCATAATTCAAACCTATAATTGCATGTTTAATCTGTTTGACTATTTGTTTAGTGTCTGCACCCCAGACAAGAGCAAGGGCTATGTGTATTCTGCCACTTACTGTGTCCCTGGGGCCTGATACTGGGGCCTGACTCATTGAATCACTCAACTGGCTGCCCTCTTAAAATGGGAGGAATAATGCTTCCTAGGAATCAAGCCATGAGAAACTAATGTTAAGAAGTGGCCAATAGTATCTGAACCATGTGTAACCAGGAGAAGTGCCGAGAGCCCTGAGCACATACTCTGGGCTAGGTAATGGGAGCCCTTGTAGTCTCTCTTCCATCTTACACAATCTATAGACGCTAGGAATTTGAATGTGTAGGATCAATTGCAAAGTCAAAACTTCTGCTGGCTCTTCGGGTTTCCAAAGGATGGAAATATGAAGTAGATGTTCTTCTCTAATAGACCATCTTAGTCAGATGCAGATATAGAAAGATTTCAGGGCCAGAAGGGTATACAAATGTAATGAGAATGAGGAGTCTGATTGGCATTGTCCAACATGGAGCCACTGGCCACGTGTGGCCACCAAACACGTGTGGCTACCGAACACGTGTGGCTGGTCCTAAAGTCTTCGACTTGGCCGGCAGTGCTGGGCTCAGCTGGGCTCAGCTGCTCTCACTCATATGTCTTTATAGCTACTCCTCTCAAGCGGTGGACTCAGTTTCCACACCTCTGAATCTGGGTGAACCCTGGACTCGCTTTGGCGGCAGCAGCAGAAGGCAGCAGAAGTGGCTGCGTGCTGATCAGCGGGGGCTGGTGAGGGGCTAGCTGGTCTAGGATGGCCTAGATTGGGACACCTGAACTCCCCTTCTCACGGTCCCTGCTTGTCCAGCAGCCTGGCCTGCCCTTTCTCCGTGGCGGAGGCAGAGGTCCAAAGCAAAGGAGTCCACGCAGGTTCTCTTCAGCTGGAGGAAAGCAGAGGCATCGGCCCAGATTATGCCTCTGTCACATAAAAATGATTTTCAGCTGAAGGCAATTAAGAAGCAGAAAATACAGGAAAAAGTCAGGTTTCCCTCCCCTTTCTGCCTAAAGGCATGACATAAACTCTCCTTCACTGGAGACAACCATTAACTCTGCCCAGCCACAGGCGGTATCAGAGGCTGCTGCAGACAAATCCTGCTGCATCAGCTTCCTCTCGGATATTTACCTTTGCACAGTTTCTCACCTTTGGAGGCCTAAAACTTTCTTTTGTCCTGTTATTTCTCTACAAATTTATTGTGTCCTTTGGAAGATGCTGTGTAAGGCAGTGTTCTGAGCCACTGTGTTGTTACTTTTCATTTAGGTTTGTCCTGCGTGATGTATGCTGCATGTGTTAATGAACTGTTCTTGGGCAGGCACAGTGGCTCATGCCTGTAATCCCAGCACTTTGGAAGGCTGAGGCAGGTGGATTGCTTGAGCACAGGAGTTGCAGATCAGCCCGGGCTACATACCGAAACACATGTAGTCCCCAAAAATACAAAAATTAGCCTGGCATAGTGATGTGCCTGTAGTCCCAGCTACTTGGGAGGTTAAGATGAGTGAATCACCTGGCTAACACGGTGAAACCCCGTCTCTACTAAAAAAATACAAAAAACTAGCCGGGCGAGGTGGCAGGCACCTGTAGTCCCAGCTACTCAGGAGGCTGAGGCAGGAGAATGGCGTAAACCCGGGAGGCAGAGCTTGCAGTGAGCTGAGATCCGGCCACTGCACTCCAGCCTGGGTGACAGAGCAAGACTCCGTCTCAAAAAAAAAAAAAAAAAAGATGAGCGAATCGCTTGAGTCAGGGAGGTGGGGGTTGCAGTGAACCAAGATGGAACCACTGCACTCCAGCTTGGGCCACAAAGCAAGACACTGTCTCAAAACAAACAAACAAACTTCTTGTCTGTGAATCTTTTTGTTAAGGAGCCTATTTTAGTCCCTTTTGTGCTGCTGTAACAGAATACCAGAGACTGGGTAATTGATAATTATAGGCATGAGCCACCACGTCTGGCCTGATATACCTCTTTCTCAGTGAAGACACAGGGGGATATAAAGGCCAATGGCTTCGATGGAGCGTGGTGCCAGGGGCATAAAGGGAACAGAGTCCAGGCTGTGTATGCATGTGAGTGTGTGTGTGTGTGTGGGGGGCACATGTGGGATATTCAGAAGCAATATCACCAGATTTTGCTCCCAGCTGGGCCTAGGGCACCCCTTTTCAGCTGCTTCAGGATGCATTCCAAGAGAGGGGAGTCTAGGGGAAAGAAAGAGTTTGGGTAGAGGCCAAGTCATCTGAACTGTTAATAGAAAAACATTAGTCAAATTAAGCAGACTTTATTTGAGCAAAGAAACTTTATGAATCGGGCAGCACCCTGATTCCACTCAGCAACACTGGTAGGCCAAATTTATTGGAAGTAGCACAAATAAACAGTCTGATGGGGTGCAGCTCAGCATTTACCTTACACAGACTTGGTCTAATCAGTTGGTAGCCTGTGACTGGTTAAAGCACAGCTGCTGTGACTTGCTGAGATTCAGCTATTTGTTACAAGAATATAGTCTCGGTTGGGAGGCAGTTTACTTAAATACTAAGTTAGATTGCAGTTCAACAGGTATGGCAGCAGCTTTGGGCCAAATTATTATTATTATTTTTTTGAGACGGAGTCTTGCTCTGTCACCAGGCTGGAGTGCAGTGTGCAATCTCAGCTCACTGCAACCTCTGCCTCCTGGGTTCAAGCGATTTCTATGCCTCAGCCTCATGAGTAGCTGGGATTATAGGCGTGTGCCACGATGCCTGGCTACTTTTTTGTATTTTAGTAGAGACAGGGTTTCACCATGTTGGCCAAGATGGTCTCGATCTCGGCCTCGTGATCCGTCCACCTCGGCCTCCCAAAGTGCTGGGAACTTTGGGACAAATTTAATTGAATTTAAACATTTCTGCCTTTTGGTCAGCCTCTCAATTTTGAGAGATTGACCAAAACCTTGGGCCCTGACTCCATTTTCTGTCACCATCATAATGGACTTGTTTTGTTTCAGTATTGACTTCACAATTCATGATTTCACCTTAGTTGGATGATTCTTTATGCTTTCTTCATGTTTTTGTTATTCGAACCCTAATGGGCCAGTTGATGTATAAAGGATGGCTGCATAGGAGTATGTAAGACTTCCCAGGGGAAGCAACACATCAGAGAGACTATTATTATTGTTTTTTTATTATTATTTTTGAGAGGGAGTCTCACTCTGTTACCCAGGCTGGAGCGCAGTGGCGCAATCTTGGCTCAATGCAACCTCCACCTCCTCGGTTCCAGCAATTCTCCTGCCTCAACTTCTTGAGTAGCTGCGATTACAGGCATGCACAACCACACTGGCTAATTTTTGTATTTTAGTAGAGATGGGGTTTCACCATGTTGGCTAGACTGGTCTTGAACTCCTGACCTCAAGTGATCCATCTGCCTCGGTCTTCCAAAGTGCTGGGATTACAGGCTTGAGCCACCGCTCCTGGCCTATTATTATTATTTAAGATGAAGTCTTGCTCTGTCACCCTGGCTGCAGTGCAGTGGCGCAATCTTGGCTCACTGCAACCTCCACCTCTTGGGTTCAAGCGATTCTCCTGCCTCAACCTCCTGAGTCGCTGGGATTACTGGCATGCACAACCACAGCAGCTATTTTTTGTATTTTTAGGAGAGACAGGGTTTCCCTCTGTTGGCCAGGCTGGTCTCAAACTCCCGAGCTCAAGCGATCTGCCTGCCTAGTCCTCCCAAAGTGCTGGGATTATAGGCGTGAGTCACTGCGCCTGGCCAGGGAGACTATTATGATGACTATGAGTGGACAATGCCAAGAAACAGGAGTACACTCCTTATCAGGAGTTTCTACAAACAACTAGTCAAATAACTCAAAGTCCACGCAATAAAGATAGTTCAACAGCATTTAACTCTAATTGGTCAGTCTTTGTTCTGGGGATGATGGCGATTAAAGCCCAAACTCACCCCATTAAATGAGAGATCTATATTTGAGAGGTCTCAGAGACCTCCACTCAGCAACAGTGGACAAGCAGCGTTTATAAACAGAAAAAAGGAAGTGGCACTGGATATAGGCCGATTGGTGACAGCTCAGCCTTTGTCTAATTTGGACACATCCGGTCAGTCTGCGGTCTGCCCCTGGCTGAAAGCTGGCTGCTAAGGTTGGAGGAGACTCCTTTTTCCTTACAAGAATATACTCTGGTCAGGTTGTAGTTTGTTTACATATTAAATAAGGTTACATCCCAGTCAAATCCTCCCTACAAAGTATCCCCTATTCTGACCTCTATCACCATAGACTAGTTTTTCTGCTTTAAATAAATGGAATCACACAATAAAAAGAGAAAAAAATGAGGTTACAGTTCACTAGATTGCAGGATTTTTGAACAAATTTATTTATTTATTTATTTGATAGAGTCTTGCTCTGTTGCCCAAGCTGGGTGCAGTGGCACGATCTCAGCTCACTGTAACCTCCACCTCCGGAGTCCAAGTGATTCTCCCACCTCAGCCTCCCAAGTAGCTGGGATTATAGGAGTGTGCCACTATGCCCGGCTAATTTTTGCATTTTTAGTAGAGAGGGGGTTTCACTATGTTGGTCAGGCTGGTCTCGAACTCCTGACCTCAGCTGATCCACACCCTTCTCAGTCTCTCAAAATGCTGGAATTACAGGCGTGAGCCACCGCGCCCGACCTGGAACACATTTAATTTAATTTAGCAGAACTTACTCCCTGTGCCCAGAATAGGTAGGGGCAAGTGTTGCTTTCCATGAAGAGTGCACCTGATGAGAAGGCAGCTCCAGAGGACTCAAAGGAAAACCGAGAATCAGGAGAAAAAGAAACGTGCAGTCCTTGCCTACCTCAGGGGAGGACCCCAAACTCCCAGTTCATAGTAGGGACCTGCTTCCCCATGCATCCCAGCTCCCTCTCCACCGTGCAGTCGCCTCCTGGGCCGGGCAACCACAATTCGGGGCCTGCTCTAAGGCCCAGAGTTCTCAGTCATGTGACGCCCAGCTTAAGTGGTCTGGGCTTCGTGGCAGCACCAGATCCAGGGTGAGGTCACGCTGCTGGTCCTCAGAGTACACAGGCCGGTAGCCCAGCAGCTGCAGCGCGTCGGCGCACACCTCCTGCACGCGCAGGATCTTGGTGAAGGGCAGCGCGTGGCGCCAGGCCTGGGAGACGTTGCGCGCATTCCTAGACGAAGTCTGGAAAGCCTCGATTGGCTGGCCGATCCCCAACCCGTGGGTGATGTTGTGGATCCAGGTCTTGAGCTGGGGCGTGAGGGTCAGCCCGGTGAAGGCGTAGAGTGCTCTGATCTCTGCCAGCGGCTCCCGCGCCAGGTCCTCGAAGCGCACCAGGCGGTAGCGGCCGCGCAGGAAGGGTGGCGGCTTGAGTGTGGCGGCCTCCGCGATGCGCACATGGCTGCGACACACCTCACGCATCAGGCGCAGCTGAGGGTCAGCCTCCACCCACCTGCCGTTGGTGCCCAGCACGATGCCGTTGTCGCGTGCCAGTAGTGGGCTCGTCGCCTCCCGGGAGCGCAGCACGGCCCGCGGGTCGCGCACCAGGTGCACGATGCGCAGGTTGAGTGCGGGGTCTCTGAGCAGCGGGTAGAGCACCTGCAGGTTGAAGAAGCGCACCTCCTTGAGCACCACGTGGCTGTAGGAGCGGCAGGCCTCCCGGGCCAGGCTGAAGGGCTGCCGCGTGCACAGTGTCTTGCACATGTTCTCCTTGCTGATAGCGCCTCGGGGAAAGGCGTTGCAGGCGGGCGGCGAGCACAGCGCGCGGCTCGTTGCCCACTTGAAAAAGGCGGACAGGTTTCGGCTCTGTGGCATGTAGGCATCAAACACGTCCATGTCGCACAAAAAGACGGAGCGCATCAGGTCGCGCACGGCCATGTGCAGCGTTGCGGCGCTGCCTTGCGACAGGGTGGTCCACACGTGCCACGCGGGCTCCATCAGGTAGAAGACGTCGGGGTGCTGGCTGAAGAGCTGGCCCACGAAGGACGAGCCTGAGCGCCACGAGGACAGCACCAGCACGTGCACACGCTCCTCGCCGCCCGCTGGGGATGAAGGTCCTGGCCGGGAGACGACGAAGAGCAGGAGGCAGGTGGTCTGTGCCAGGAGGAGCACGGTCACTGTCCTGCTGGAGAAGCGTGGCAGCCGCATGCTGGCGGCTGGAGGCCTTCGGGCGGGCGGAATGGGCAACTTTAGGGACCAGGGCCCTCACGCCCATCCCACGCCCCAATTACTGCCCAGTGCCCTCAGGGAGCAGCCCTTGGATTTGACTACCCTACCCATTGGACTTCCCAAGACTCCCAAGGTCTCAGTCGAGCACTTTCCCAGGAATATGGAGTCAAGATACAGCCCAGAATATAGTCTGTGCTCAGAAGTCCAGTTGCAGACAAATGTGGGATACCCTCAAATTGTCTACCTACCCACCCACCTACTTACATACCTATAGGCTATCTATCTGTAGAGAAAAATATTATGTTTCAAAGAGAACTTCTGTCTTTTGCTTCAGGATACCTCTTAGAGAGGCCCTTTTAGGTTGCTGAGCTAAAAGGACTTGATGGGGGCTTCCAGGGATGTCAGAGCACCACCAGGCTTGCGGAGGTTGAATCCTGGCTCTGCCACTTCCTGGCCTATGATCTTGCTTATGAAGATCACTTAAATCTCTCTGTGACCGATCACTTTACCCGTGTGTAAAAGAGGGATAATTCTGGTACTTGGCTCACAGGATTTGGGGGGATTGGGGGATTATTATAATGAAGATGGGGGAAGGGAATATGTAGTCATGCCCATAACTGAGGATCGCACCTTTTACGTGGTGTGCTTCTGCACTATATAACTTTTTTAACAGGCAGGTATAAAACTTTTGTCGGCCGGGCGTGGTGGCTCATGCCTGTGATCCTAGCACTTTGGGAGGCCGAGGCGGGTGGATCACGAGGTCAGGAGATGGAGACCATCCTGGCTAACATGGTGAATCCCCGTCTCTACTAAAAATACAAAAAATTAGCTGGGTGTGGTGGGGGGCGCCTGTAGTCCTAGCTACTTGGGAGGCTGAGGCAGAAGAATGGCATGAACCTGGGAGGCAGAGCTGGCAGTGAGCCAAGATAGCGCCACTGCACTCCAGCCTGGGCAAGAGAGCAAGACTCTGTCTCAAAAAAAAGAAAACTTTTGTCGTTAAAAATAAGCAAGTAAATAAAGTGCACAAAGAACACCAACTGTTGCCATCATTGGTTGGGGGTGAAGTGCTGAAGGCAGCATGGGCTCCAGAGGGAGGGTGTCCTGGAGCCCTGTGGGTTCACAAGGAGACCAGTTGAGGTGGAGCTGGCATGGAGCCAGAGAAGCAGAGGTGAGAGCAGAGTACTGTCCCAGCCAGCTGAGGGAACTCACCACTGTCCAGGGCTGCTGGGAGAGCTGCAACACTGATCACAAACCCATGGGAGATGTCTCGACACCTGGCAAAACAGGAAGGAGAGGAGATCAGAGTCCTAGAGAGAGAGACAGCCCTGTACATAGAAAGCTCTCCCGGGTGGGAGCAGAACTGTCCTGCCTGTCTTTTGCTTCAGGATACCTCATAGACCTTTTGGGTTGTGGAGCTAAAGGGCTTGATGAGGACTTAGGTGGATGGATGTCACAGCACCGCCAGGCTTGCTGAGGTGGAATGAGTCTGAGTAGGGCACTTCTCCAAATGGCTGGGAACTGGCCGGGTCTACTGATGGATGGAGGCGAGAGAGCTGGCTCCGAATCCCAGCACTGCCAATGGGAAGCCATGAGACCTGGGGCAAGTGACTTAACTTCTCTGAGGCTCAATTTCCACCTCTGTAGAATGGGATTTGCAACATTTAATCTCTTAGGGCTGTTGTGAGATGCTGCTGCAAACACCTATGAAGAGGGGACCTGGGAAAGTATTCCTTACACACGTGCCCCTGTTACTGTTTTTGTCCCTGTGCTCAGCTACATCTGGAGAGGAAGAACCCCCTCCACCTGGGGAGTCTCCCCCCAGAGGAGACACCCACAGGCCACCTACCCTTCCAATCCCTGTATCTCCCAGGCCATTCTCTGGCCTCCAATCACCCAGAGCCTTTAGTGGACCTTAAGAATATCACACGTGTCTCACAGGGTGGAAGGAACACTGAGCCGGCCTCCCGCATTCCAAGGTTCCAAAGTGTTCTTCTGTTTGCACCTGTTGCTTCTGCAATGATCTCAAGGCTGGGCGACTTTGGAAGGGAGGAGCCTGGAATTTTTCTCCTGCTCCTACATCCTTTGCTGCTTGCCTGCCCCACTCCCCTGTCCACATCACCCATTGAGAGAAGCCAGGGTCTAACTTGTGAGCAGATCTCATCTCTGCTCCTTCCCCTCAATGCAGGGACTGGAGTGAGTGGAGAATGCCCAACACCTCTGTCACCTGCTGACTCCTGAGCTACCTTCTGGATCCCCATACCCACTCCTGGAAAACCTGGAAGATGAGGAGAGTAGCCCCCCACCTCCTCTACACGTGCGACTGTACTTTTTCCAGTGCTGGCTGATGGATGGTGGGCTCCCCTGACAACAGAGTGTCAGAGAGGAAGGCAACTCATATTTTCTGACTTCAATGATCACAAGTGCTAGGTGTTTCTTTTTTTTTTTTTTTTTTTTGAGATGGAGTCTCGCTCTGCCATCCAGGCTGGAGTGCAGTGGCTAGATCTCAGCTCACTACAAGCTCCGCCTCCCGGGTTCACGCCATTGTCCTGCCTCAGCCTCCCAAGTAGCTGGGAGTACAGGCACCCACCACCTCGCCCGGCTAGTTTTTTGTATTTTTTAGTAGAGACGGGGTTTCACCATGTCAGCTAGGATGGTCTCGATCTCCTGACCTCGTGATCCGCCCATCTCAGCCTCCCAAAGTGCTGGGATTACAGGCTTGAGCCACCGTGCCCGGCCAGTGCTAGGTGTTTCAAGTCCACCGGATGACTTAACTCAACAGGCCCTGAGGGGGACATGATGATGTCAGTTTTTCAGGTGAAGGACTCAAGGCTTGGAGAGACAGCAGGAAAGCTGGGACCCCAGGACTCCTGTTCCTAAGCTCCTGGCACTTCTGATCCCAGGCTGTGGGCCTCTCCCACGTGTGATTGCTCCCTGCAGAGTGCAGGACCTTGCTGCCCTGGCCCAAACACAGTTCTCCTGGCCAGCCCAGCCCTTCCCTGGTAGGGAGGATCTTGATCCCAAGCTAAGGTGTTTGTTACCTGTGTTCCAGGAAAGCCAGAGGTCTTCTTAAGAAGGTGGTTGAGCCGGGTGCGGTGGCTCACGCCTGTAATCCCAGCACTTTGGGAGACTGAGGTGGGCGGATCACAAGGTCAGGAGATCGAGACCATCCTGGCTAACACTGTGAAACCCCGTCTCTACTGAAAAATGCAAAAAATTAGCTGGGCGTGGTGGTGGGCGCCTGTAGTCCCAGCTACTCAGGAAGCTGAGGCAGGAGAATGGCGTGAACCCGGGAGGTGGAGCTTGCAGTGAGCCGAGATTGCGCCACTGCACTCCAGCCTGGGCGACAGAACGAGACTCTGTCTCAAAAAAAAAAAAAAAAAAAAAAAGGAGGTGGTTGAATCACCCTATGCCATACAGAGTCTCCAGAAGACCAGTTCCTCACTGGGAGCTTTCTGATAAGGAGACTTACATTCAGCACAGTGGACACCTGGCCAAAGGTTCAAAGTTAGGGAGAACCAGTTAGGCAGGCCCTATGATATGCACTTTCATCTTCATGATTGAATGTTATCCTCCCTAGTCCCTAAGAGGCAGAAATAAGCATCCCTATCTGTTTTAATTGAAGCAGTGGGGCTCAGAGACATGAATACCCAGTAAGAAAGTGGCAGGGCTGGGGCTCTAGTCCAAGAGTCAGACTCCCAGTGCAGGGCTCTGTGGTGGGTCACACTCCTAAGCCTTTGTCCAGAGAACTCTTCCATCCTGGAAGGAACATTCCCCTTCCCCTCCAAATTCTTCCCTTTTTTGATTCTTTTCTGGGGGCACATATTTATTATGTTTAATTTTTAGAAAAATAATACAAACAGGTCACACGAAATTCAAAAAGTAGAGCTGAGGGCATCACAGCCTTGACCTTCCAAAGTGTTGGGATTACAGGCGTGAGCCATAGCGCCCAGCCAAAAGTGCAATTCTTGACTGCCTTGCCTCCATGTAAAAGGGAAGAGAAAGGAATGTCAACATTTGCTAGAGGTCGGACACAGTGGCTTACGCCTGTAATCCCAGCACTTTGGGAGGCCTAGGTGGGTAGTCACCAGAGGCCAGGAGTTCAAGACCAGCCTGGCCAACAAGGCAAAACATAGCTCTACTAAAAATACAAAAATTAGGCCAGGTGTGGTGGCAGGTGCCTGTAATCCCAGCTACTTGGAGGATGAGGCAGGAGAGTCGCTTGAACCCAGGAGACAGAAATTGCAGTGAACTGAGATCATGCCATTGCACTCCAGCCTGGGCAACAAGAGCGTCCATCACACACACACACACAAAAAAACAAAAAACAAAACAAAACAAAAATTAGGCCAGGTGTGGTGGCTCATGCCTGTAATCCCAGTGTTTTGGGAGGCCAAGACGGGTGGATCACCTGAGGTCAGGAGTTCAAGGCCAGCCTGGACAACATGGTGAAACCTCATCTCTAAAATTAGCTGGGCATGGTGGCTCATGCCTGTAATCCCAGCTACTTGGGAGACTGAGGCAGGAGAATCGCTTGAACCCAGGAGGTGGAGGTTACAGTGAGCCAAGACGGCGCAATTGCACTCCAGGCTCTGCGACAGAGTGAGACTCCATCTGAAAACAACAACAAAAACAAAAAAAACACAAAAATTTGGGCCCAGTGCAGTGGCTCACGCCTGTAATCCCGGCACTTTGGGAGCCTGAGGCGGGTGGATCACCTGAGGTCAGGAATTTGAGACTAGCCTGGCCAACATGGTAAAACACCGTCTCTACTAAAAATACAAAAATTAGCTGAGTGTGGTGGCGTGCATCTGTAATCCCACTTACTCCAGAGGCTGAGCAAGAAATCCCCTGAGCCCAGGAGGCAGAGGTCGCAGTGAGCCAAGATCGGGCCACTGCACTTCAGCCTGGGCGACAGAGCGAGACTCCATCTCAAAACAAACAAAAAAACGTTTCCTAGGCACCTGTAGTGTCCTGGGGCCCAGAGGGCCTTTCCTGAAGCCCAACATCAAGCCCCTAGAAGCAGTGAGGCACGACTCCAATTCCCCGGAGTCTGGTTCCAAATTAACTCACCAAGCTATTTTTTCTCAAGAATTTTATGGAGAGCTTTTGAAAGCCACACCTTTTGAAACCCAAGTATGGAATAAGAACCGCCCCCTCACCCCCGCCCCACGCAGTGAGGATTCCTGCGTGCAGCCGAAGCCGCAGCAAGACACTTCCAAACCAGCGCTAGCAGGGGCGATGAACTTTCCACGTTGCTGATGGAAAAGCCACTTCCAGCTCCTCCCGCCACCCCAGGCCCCTGGTGCTGGACAGAGGAGCGTCCCAGCTGTGTTACTGGCCCGGCCCCCAGCTCAACAGAGTGTGGGGACACCCCCCGTGGAGAATGAAGAACCAAAGTACCTCAAAGTTTGGCGTGTCTGCCCGACCTGGAGGGGCAGCGAGAGGGACGCCTCTCTCTCTGGGCTCAGCAAAGGCTCCCAGTCTCTTCCAAGTTCCACCGCACAGCCAGCTTCCTCTTCACTGGGAAAGTCCGCAGGGGCTGACTTGCTCCTTAAGGTCCCAAGACTATTAAGGGACACCTGGTGACGCCAGGAAAGGGGGTCTAAGAGGCATGGACGAGAGTCGGGGGGCACCAAGACACTGAAAGCTCCTGGAGACTCGAGGCACAGCGAATCTGGGAGCAGGGCAGGAGTCCCGGAATGGGATGTCGAGGGTGGGGGTGTCCTGGGGCTACCACAGGGAAGGACGCGGCGCAGAGCTCCCTCCGGAGCCCGGCACTGTGGCCCAAGATCCTCGGCACTGCCCGGTCAGGCGCTTTCAGACGTGGCTGCGGCCCCGGGGTGGCCGGCAGGAGCCAGGGAAGTGGAAGAAGGAAGGAAGGAGCAACTTTTGCCCCCAGCTCCCTCTCCCCACCCCTGATCGAGGGGCCACGCCTCGGGGAGGGGCGCCGGACGAGGGCAGGGCCGGAGGGCCCAGGTGGGCTGGGGCTCTAAGAGGCGCGGGGTTTAGCCGAGGATATCAAAGGACGCTGGCAGAGTCACTTCTCATCTAACTGACCACAAATAAACGTTGTAACCCGTCCCCCCGCAAATCCCCAGAGAACCTGGGAGCTCCTCGGAGGACAAAGGCCCTAGTGAAGGAAGTCGAATCTTAATCTTGGCCCTCCTTGCTCTCCGGGGCATCCTTGCAGGGAAGGGACTTGGAATCCAAACCCTTCCTAAGGCCCCAATCTCAGCCCCAAGCCAAGACCCAGGCACCTTGACACAGGGACCAACGCTGTCTCCCGGTGCAGCGTCCCAGCTGGGAGGAGTTGAGACCAGGTGGCCTTAGGAGCTGTGCCCTACCTGCCCTAGCCTCTGCCCAGAGGCGCAGGCTTGATAACAGGTTCTGACAGGATATGTTTCAGTAAATAAAAGCTCCCCACCCACCCCTTACATATAACAGCTCAGCCTGAAGTGGTGGCACACGACTGTAATCCCCGCACTTTGGGAGGGGAGGCAGGCAAATCACTTGAGGTCAGGAGTTCAAGACCAGCCTGGCCAACATGGTGAAACCCCGTCTTTACTAAAAATACAAAAATCAGCCATGCGTGGTGGCACATGCCTGTAATTCCAGCTACTAGGTAGGCTGAGACAGGAGAATCGCTTGAACCCCCGAGGTGGAGGTTGCAGTGAGCGGAGATGGGGACATTGCACTTTGGCCTGGGCGACAAAGCAAGACTCCATCTCAAAAACAAACAAACAAACGGGCAGAGTCCAGTCATCTGAAAAGGATAGCGCATTGGGAGGTCCTTTAATCCACGGTGGTGTCTGAAACAAGAAGTCCCCGCTGCTGGGAGTAGAAATTAGCACAGTCTTTCCTGGCTGTGGTTTGACAATGAATTAAGATCCTTAACAACCGTCGTAAGGTTTTTGAATGTATCTTAAGGAAATAAACCAGCAACAAGGATTTCTACGCAAGGTTTACAGAAGTGTTGTTTATGATACTAAAAAGGTTACCACAAAAAAGATTAGAAAGATGTGTGCCAGAATGCCAACCATAGGCCGGGCGCGGTGGCTCAAGCCTGTAATCCCAGCACTTTGGGAGGCCGAGACGGGCGGATCACGAGGTCAGGAGATCGAGACCATCCTGGCTAACACGGTGAAACCCCGTCTCTACTAAAAAATACAAAAAACTAGCCGGGCGAGGTGGCGGGCGCCTGTAGTCCCAGCTACTTGGGAGGCTGAGGCAGGAGAATGGCGTAAACCCGGGAGGCGGAGCTTGCAGTGAGCTGAGATCCGGCCACTGCACTCCAGCCCGGGCGACAGAGCGAGACTCCGTCTCAAAAAAAAAAAAAAAAAAAAAAAGAATGCCAACCATAATAACTGCTGTGATCAAACCACTGTGATCCCAGCACTTTGGGAGCCAAAGCAGATGGATCACTTGAGGTCAGGAGTTTGAGACCAGCCTGACCACCAAGGTGAAGCCCTGTCTCTATTAAAAATACAAAAATTAGCCGGGCGTGGTGGTGGGCACTTGTAATCCCAGCTACTCAGGAGGGTAAGACAGGAGAATCGCTTGAACCTGGGAGGTAGAGGCTGCAGTGAGCTGAGATCATGCTACTGCACTCTAGCCTGGGTGACAGAGTGAGACTCTGTCAAAAAAAAAAAAAAAAAAAGAAAAGAATAACCACCTACTGGTACTATGCTTATTACCTGTGTGATGATATAATCTGTACACCAAACCCCCAAGAAGTACAATTTACCTATATACGAAACTCATACATATATCCCATGAGTCTACAACAAAAGCTGGAAGGAGAAAAAAATGGTAAAGAAATAATTGCTTTATTAGCCTTACATGATGGAATATTAGGGGGGTCTCATCCGACTTAAGCCAAAACTGTACTAATCATTTGGCAAAATCAGGAGTCTTTCTGCCTCCAAATATTCAGTAATAACATCAAACCCTAACTTAGCAATGGGTCGGAGCTGAGTTAATAAAATCCCGTATATTTCTTGCCTTTTTTTTTTTTTTTTTTTTGAGACAGAGTCTAGCTCTGTCGCCAGGCTGGATTGCAGTGGCAGGATCTTGGCTCACTGCAACCTCCGCCTTCTAGGTTCGAGCAATTCTCGTACCTCAGCCTCCTAAGTAGCTGGGATTACAGGCATGTGCCACCACGCCCAGCTAATTTTTGTAATTTTAGTAGAGATTGGGTTTCACCATGTTGGCCAGGATGGTCTCGATCTCCTGACCTCATGATCCACCCATCTCTGCCTCCCAAAGTGCTGGGATTACAGGCGTAAGCCACAGCTTCCAGCCTCTTGCCTTTTATTTCCCTCTTGCAGCTATGCTATGATTCAGAGTCAGAAACTATCAAGATCTGGTCTGTAAATAATTTCAAATTCACCAGACACAGTCATAATTATCCAGCACGTAGATTTCACATGGCATGTGAATTCCACTGAAAACTCATCTACTTGGGGAAGAACTAGGGGACTTTCATCAAAGACTTAGTGGAAGTTCCAAGGTCTTTTGGCAGAGCCTCGTAAAGCATGGCCGCAGATGAGTAATGAAAACAGGTGTGTGCAACCTCTGCCCTCCTTATTCTTCCCCATTCCAAACCCTTTCTCTTGAAAAAGGTACATGCGATCTTCCATTTTGACTTTTTTTTTTTTTTAAGAGACAGGGTCTGAGTCTGTCACCCAGGCTGGAGTGCAGTAGTGTGATCACAGCACACTGCAGCCTCAAGCTCCTGGGCTCAAGTGATCCTCCCGCCTTGGCTTCTCAAAGCGTTGAGATTACAGGGATGAACCGTCATGCTCGGCCTCATTTTGAACATTTTAATTAGAAAGGTACAAAACATCATGGGTTCTTTATACAAAATTTGCATTAGAATAATTTAATAAAATGCAAACTAATGTTTATACGTTATCTTGTCATCCTTCCATATCTCATTGCCTTATGGGGATTTAAACAAGAAACTATTTTTCATTTAGATCTTAAGAAAAAAATTTAGGCATATAAAACAGCCTGAATATTAAAAAAAGACAACGGGGACAGTGTTAGGGAATTCCTCTGTTTGAATACTTCAAAATAGCTTTGTTTCCAAAATTGTTTTTAGTCAGTCTAAAGGAGCACTAAAAATGAGAACTGATCTCCATGGTAAACTGAGGCACACACTGAGGGGTATGTTTCCGGGTGAACATGAAGCACGGATCACAGGGGCCACGTCCTCCCCATGGTAATGACCTGCTTGGGATCAGAAAGCAGCTCCGTCTGTCCTTGGAGGAGACTGCACGTGTCCTCAGGAGATGAATGGGCTGAACAAGCCGTCTTCCATGTGCAGAGGCCCCTTCCAGTCATCTCTGCTCTTGCAGACACTTGCTTAGCCACGAGGGTAATCCACTGAACTGCTTGGCATTCTGCTAGTGGCCAGGCTGGACTGGCCTGCCCAGGCCAGCATCTTCTTTACTCCCTCACTGCTTCTTGTGTCCTTCCCAAAGCTGCCTGCCCTACTCTGATGGGCACTGTGGTCCTTAGTCAAGGGAGAGGCCAGCCGCTGGGCTTCCCACTAGCCTTCCAAATAAACTTGTGGTTGTCAGGCAGTGGGAGCCAATCCCAACACCAACTCCTGTTGCCCCTGTCCTTTGCAGGAAGGGGGACAGCTGTCAAGGAGGAGGAGGGCCAAGTGCCCAGGCTGTTGGGTGAGGGCCAGAAAGAACCTGTTGTGACAATCCTTCCTTCCCTCAGTGCTGCTGAGGGGGCTGGGAATGAAACAGCCCCTCTGACTTTAGCCTGCCATCAGGGGCACAGACAGAGGGCAAAATAGGGTGAAGAGCCAGCCACAGTTCGGCAAAGATCCAAGGCTGCTCAGCTGAGCTGATTACAGATGACTGACTGTTGGGCTGGGGCAGGTGGACAGTCCAAGTCGCCTTCAGCAGCCCTCCCTCATGCCTGTGCTAATGCAGCCCTTGCCCTTGGGCCCTGCCCCTCCAGGTCTCCAGTTAGAGGCCTCAGCTCTGGAAATCAAAGCTCTGAATGGGAAATGGAGATGCCCCCGGGTGCAAAGTGCTAGTGATTGGCATGTTTGTCACAAAAGAGCCCTGGAAAGCGTAAGAGTGGCTCACAGTAGAAGGAAGAAATGCACAGTGTGTTTCTCAGTTCAACAGAGGAAAAGTCTCTGCTTGACCAGAGATGGGACTCTTTCCAAGATGTCTGAACTGCCTGCCATTTTCTCCCGAAATTCAACTCTAAGGCAAGGAAGAAAACCCAAAAAGCTAATTATAGCCTCCAGGAACTCTCAGACCTTTCCACAAACTAGTCCTTGGTGATTCTGCAGGAGCTCTGAAGATACGGAACTTGTGTAGAGCAAAATTGGAAAGAACTGTTGTCTCTGAGGGGAAAAGCACACAAGCCTGCATGTGTCCTCTGGGCTCTTTCAAAAGGTCCTAAGATGTTCCCAGGAGATGACAATGAGGCAGCCACGGTCCTGCCGAGTCTTCAGAAATGGCCTTCCTAGGATAAGTGCTCCTTACACATTTCTCCCCGGGGTGTCGCTGTCACAGGGATGGTGGTCACCACCTGATTCTGAAACACGAAGATCTTGATTCTTTCAAACACCCAGAGGAAGATAAGCAGGATGCTGACATACTGCACCCAGGCGAACTTTACCATCTCCCAGAATCCTGGCTGATAAGTATGGACAGCTAAGGAATGGAGGGCCACATGGTGTTAGGTATGAAGAGAAAATCCAAGACGGAACTGGCCGTGGCAGAGGTATCTAGAAAGGAGGCAGGACCTCTGTCACGTACACACCCAGATGGACGGTGACCTGCTGAACTTGGCCAAATGGTAAAACCAGCCACATTTTATTTGAACTATTTATATACTAAGCTTGATGACCAACCTCCTAAACAGACAATTATGCCAAACTACATTGATCACAGACTAGAGACATCCTGAGCTGTTAACCAGCCATCATCCATCAGGGACTCTTCTAAAATCTTCCAGTTGTGTAAACTTACAATACCTTTATTAGCCCCTGCCTAATCACACCTGTACGGAACACAATTTAGCTGCTTCCTAGGTTTGTGTCTCTGGAATTGTAATTCCTAAGGCCCTAGTTAAAATGCCTTCTCTTTTGTTTGCTTCTCTGCAGTGTTCGTGTTGGTTTCATTTCCTATTAGTTGACCTAAGTCAAAATTAAACCAAAGTTTAGGTCAGACAGGGACTGGCAAGAATGTTTCACATAACCTTAGCATAAAAAGGATAATATATGATTACTAACACATACAAATGGATGATTCTTACCTACAAGAATTGCTTGGAAACAAACAGGACCAAGAAATGAATTATTTGTTCCTGTACGAATAGCAAATATACAGAGTCATTTTTTGAATCATGTAGCCTAAAATGTCAAAGACACAGCCATTTTCATGAGGCTGTAACTCTGTCGTGATTTCCAAGAGAACACTTCCCACATCTGTTACTACTTGAGACAACTGAGGAATCATTCCTCTTTGAAAACTGAGCTGCCATTTATTTTATTTTTTTGGTAATTGTTGTTTAAGAGGCAGGGTCTCACTCTATCACTGAGGCTGGAGTACAGTGGCACAATCATTGCTCACTGCAACTTTGAACTCCTGGGCTCAAGCAATCCTCCTGCCTCAGCCTCCCAAGTAGCTGGGACTACACGTGTACACCACTATGCCTGGCTTTTTTTTTTTGGGGGGAGTACAGACAGGGTCTCACTATCTTGGCCAGGCTGGTTGTGAACTCCTGGGCTCCAACGATACTCCCACCTTGGCCTCCCAAAGTGCTGAAATTATAGGCAGGAGCCACCACACCCAGCCTTACCATGGACTCTTTAACAGAAAGGATATGAAATGACTTCCACAGGGTATCGGATGATAGCATTAATCACAAATGGAGCATCTGCGGCTCTGCCCACCAGCCAGATGGGGTTGGGATCATTCAGGATGGTGGTAACTGCAATGCAAATAATTAACCATTAACCACAATGGCTGTTTGACCCTGGCAGTTGAAGGCTATAAAGATTATTAAATTATCGTGTGCTTCAGAACTGGCCGTGAACTGAAAGAAATCATTCAGAAGGAAAGAGAAATTGCATGTGCAAAGTTGATCACACATTATTTGCTAAAATAATAGTCAAAATACTTTTGTTAAAATACATTAAAAACTTAGAAAGTTTCTTCTACATGTGCTGAATGGCTAACTGAAGGAATACTATACTGCCACTAAAAGTAGTATCACAGCTTTGTAGCTGTGTGGGGAAGTATTTATATCCCAAGTTTAAATAAATAAAAATAACCTGGATCCCAATGTGTTTCTACACTACAAGAGCTGTATAAAAAGATCCGCAGAAGGGTAAAGAATGAAAGGAATGAAAAAATAGCTGATTTGTAGGGCACTGTTTTCTAGTTTTGTTTTAAAATTCCCTCTATTATTGCAATAATGCCACTAGTATATGACACAAAAGCAGTAAGCAATACTGGATTTGCAGTCGTCCCGCTTGTGAGATGTCTGTGTATAGTTTCTATGATGTCTGGTTGCCAAGTAACACTCTAGATGCCTTTAGAGAAAACCTCAGCCACCGACCAGACAAACGTGCCGAGTCAACACATGCCCTGGCCTAGAGTTCTGTAAGGAATGAGCACACTGTGCCTTCTGGCAGGAAGCAGGGGCACTCCTGTTCTCCTGCCGGACTGCTAATGTGGGGAGAGTCACCCACGTCCTCTGCTTCTCTCTGAAAAGCATGAACAGCAATTTGTCTTTGGCATCTGTTATAGGTGTGGTATGGGGAACAACTCAATTAGGCTTACATTTTTTAAAAGGGAAACTCATCAAGCCAGTGGTAGGAAAATGATGGCATTTAACTATCACTAACCTTCTGGACCATGGGATGCTGGAGGGGTGGGGGCGGTCCCAGGTCTGAAGATGAGGACGAAAAGGACAAATCCTGGACAGCACATTTGCTCCCATCGTTGACCATTCACAGGTTTTCACATTTTTTTTTTTTTTTTGAGACGGAGTCTCGCTCTGTCGCCCAGGCTGGACTGTAGTGGCCGGATCTCAGCTCACTCCAAGCTCCGCCTCCCGGGTTTACGCCATTCTCCTGCCTCAGCCTCCCAAGTAGCTGGGACTACAGGCGCCCGCCACCTCGCCCGGCTAGTTTTTTGTATTTTTTCAGTAGGGACGGGGTTTCACCATGTTAGCCAGGATGGTCTTGATCTCCTGACCTTGTGATCCGCCTGTCTTGGAGGTTTTCACATTTTTATCATAAGGGTTCCAATTCTGCTTGTCTCTGTTGCCCCCACTAACCTTGAAAGTCCTGAGCAGCGGCTGAATGCGCTCTACCTGTGACTCACCGTTCCTCTCCTGGTAGGCAGCAACAATATGGGTGAGGTCGTAGTCATAGGCAAAGGGGCTGGTCCCATTGATCACGGATACCTGGTACACAGGAGGATGTGGTGTGAGCACCTGGGAGACTCCTCCTTTCTTCCTTCTACCCTTCTGCCCACCCAGGCTGGTCCCACAGAGCACCCTCTCATTCTTGGTGGCCTACTGCAGTATCAATAATCTTCTCTTCAAAGATGAATAAACTCTCTTGCAACAATTTAAGCCCGTTTACCCTCAGTCTTTCTTTCTGTGGATGGAAATAAGGGGTCAGTGTCCATGTTTCATAGGTTTTAAAGCTATTTTTAAAATACCCCTCTCTATCTCAGTGGGAGAAAGAATTCCTTAAATTATTTTAATAGACCATATTTTCTCCAGGTGTGGTGGCTCATGCCTACAATCCCACTGACTTGGGAGGCTGAGGCAGGAGGACCACTTGAGGCCACGAGTTCAAGGCTGTAGTCCATGATGATCATGCCACTCACTATACTCCAGTTTAGGAAACAGAGCAAGACCTCATCTCTCTCAAGAAAAAAAAAAAAAAAAAAAAGCCAGCATGAGCATCAAAACAAAGAAATAAAAGACGAACCAGGCAAGGCTCTAAAAAGAAACAATAGCATGTAAAATATCAGATAAATAAAAATAAATAAAATAAAATAAAAGATTCTCAAAAATAAAAATAAAATAAAAATAAAAACCCCTACACAAAAACGAAGAAAAGAAACCATACTTCCAACTTCTTTGTCATTTTCTTGGCCTTCTCTGGGTGCTAAGTTCTTTATCACTTTTTTTTTTTTTTTTTTTTTGAGACGGAGTCTCGCTCTGTCGCCCAGGCTGGAGTGCAGTGGCGCAATCTCGGCTCACTGCAAGCTCCGCCTCCCGGGTTCACGCCATTCTCCTGCCTCAGCCTCCCGAGTAGCTGGGACTACAAGTGCCCGCCCCTGCGCCCGGCTAATTTTTTCTATTTTTAGTAGAGACGGGGTTTCACCATGGTCTCGATCTCCTGACCTTGTGATCCGCCCACCTCGGCCTCCCAAAGTGCTGGGATTACAGGCGTGAGCCACCACGCCCGGCCTCTTTATCACTTTTTTTTTTTTTTTTTTGAGACGGAGTCTCGCTCTGTCGCCCAGGCTGGAGTGCAGTGGCCGGATCTCAGCTCACTGCAAGCTCCGCCTCCCGGGTTTACGCCATTCTCCTGCCTCAGCCTCCCCAGTAGCTGGGACTACAGGCGCCCGCCAGCTCGCCCGGCTAGTTTTTTGTATTTTTTAGTAGAGACGGGGTTTCACCGGGTTAGCCAGGATGGTCTTGATCTGACCTTGTGATCCGCCCGTCTCGGCCTCCCAAAGTGCTGGCATTACAGGTTTGAGCCACCGCGCCCGGCCTCTCTTTATCACTTTTAAACATAGAAATAGATAAAATGCAAACCACAAGCGTGTGCATTTTTCCCTTAAGAAAACAAGACTGCTGTTACTGTAATCTGATACATAGACATTCAAACAAAAAGTGCCACATTCATTTCGTATGTTGCACCTTCCTCTTCTTTACAACTTACGTTGATTATAGGCAGAGCAACAGTAAAATCCCCTATATAGCTACAAGTACTGGTTTATGGCTATAATAACCGATAACATTCCTTTTTCACTTTCTAAAGTACCTCAGCTCGACTTCTATGGTCGCCATTGTGATAAAAGGAAAGTGAGAAATGAGTGATTAGATGCATGAGTTCTGTACACAGACAGAAAGTTCCTGGCTCTGTTATACTTTCAAGCTTCGAGTCTTTGGGAAAATTAATCACTGTAAGCCCCAGTTACGTCTTCTGCAAAATGAATTCATTCTTTAAACAAGTATCTGTGAGCTTACCATGTGCCAGGCAGTGTGCTAGGCACAGACGTGATAGTATTTGAGATGCCACTGCTGTCAAGGCTGAGGGAGACAGCAAATAAACACACAAACACATATCCTGAGGAGGCCAGGTGGCAGGAGGGAGAGTCTGGCTGAGGGATGGTGGAGGGAGGGGCTGTTACTGTAGATGCAAGTCAAGGAAGGACTGTGCTTGGGGATATCTGAACAGGGACCTGAATGGTGTGGTCCGATAAGCCACGTGGATGCCTGGCAGAGGAAATGGCAAAAGCCCTGAGGTGGCAGCTGCTTCTTGGTTTCGAGGAACAGCAAAAAGGCCAGGGTGGCTGGAAGGGAGCAAGGGGGGCAGCGATGGGACAAGTGGCTGTAACGCTGGGAAAGGACAGTGCAGGCAGCTCAGAGGTTGCCGTGACGATTAAGAGATAATACAGGTAAACCCCTGCACTCAGGGGTGGCATGTCTTATGGGTTCAGTAAACTATGGCTAGTAATATTTCTGAAATACTTTACATGAACATTTTACATCATCATTTTACAGTATCCCTCGGAGTACATCCTGTGTGTGACCAAGTGTGTGTATGGAAGACAGAATGTGTGTGTGTGTGCCCACATGGACCTAAAAGCAACAGGCAATTTAGTTATTTGACAAATACAGATTTTGTTTCTCTTCCCTTCTAGGTGTAACTATGCATGTACCTTCTCTGTAGTTTGAAAAAATTCATGGCAAGAATTCTGCAGAGACCCTCTTTGGTGCCACCCACAGAGAAATGATAGTTATTTTTTTTTTTTTTTTTTTGAGACAGAGTCTCACTCTGTTGCCCGGGCTGGAGTGCAGTGGCCGGATCTCAGCTCACTGCAAGCTCCGCCTCCCGGGTTCACGCCATTCTCCTGCCTCAGCCTCCCGAGTAGCTGGGACTACAGGCGCCCACCACCGCGCCCGGCTAATTTTTTGTATTTTTTAGTAGAGACGGGGTTTCACCGTGTTAACCAGGATGGTCTCGATCTCCTGACCTCGTGATCCGCCCGTCTCGGCCTCCCAAAGTGCTGGGATTACAGGCTTGAGCCACCGTGCCCGGCCGAGAAATGATAGTTCTATTTTTCTTTTCTTTTCTCTTTTTTTTGACACAGAGTCTTGTTCTGTCGCCCAGGCTGGAGTGCAGTGGCGAGATCTCGGCTCACTGTAACCTCCACCTCCTGGATTCAAACAATTCTCCTGCTTCAGTCTCCCAAGTAGCTAGAATTACAGGCACGTACCACACGCCCGGTTAATTTTTTATATTTTTAGTAGAGACGAGGTTTCATCATGTTGGCCATACTGGTCTTGAACTCCTGACCTCAAGTGATCCATCCGCCCGCCTCCGCCTCCCAAAGTGCTGGGATTACAGGCATGAGTCACCGCGCCTGGCCTGACATTTCTACCTTTCATTCCCCTCTTTAAAGAACTTAATGAACAGTAACACACAGAAACAAAGGAGCTCGACGATGAGAAGCGCCCTTACGTTGTATCGGGCATCTAGGCCACCACAGCTCAGCGGCTGCTTCTGCTGCAGCCTCAGGTCTCCGTTCACATATAATTGGGATCCCGGGACAGGAAAGGAGGACTGGAGAAACGCCATGCTCTGCATCACGAGGGTCACCATCCTCTGAAATCATTAGAAGGACCAACATACCAACCGCCATCAGATCTGAAGGGCTCTGGGTGCTAAGAGTCACCTGTCTTGGCTGAAACCTAAGGGGCCCTCACATACCTAGCGTAGCCATGCAGGAAACACTGCCTAGAACCTTCTGAGCTATTAACAGCCCATATCAGTTAACATGACTTTAGTGAAAACCATTTGATTGGCCTAAGTTAAATCCCAAGCTACGTGGGGAAGAGGGCCTGCTACAGTGTGGGTCTTCTAGAAATCAGAAGAAGGGTTCTGGTCTATTAAAAATACACAAGGGAGAGGACGGCCTCCCAGTGGACTGACTCACGTGTAATTGATAGGAGAAAGTCAGGATGAGCTGCACACTGAGAACGTGCTCCGTGGACTGCAGGGGAAGCTCCAGCTTAAAATGTAGCATGTCCATCTTCCCATCCTGGTTCCTGTCTTCTTCTCTAGTCTAGGAAACCCAAACAGGGCCAGCAGCCCCGGTCACTAACGAGTCTGGGAGGAATCCACATCACTTTTGTACATACACAATGACCCACTGTCCTGCTGTACACAACAGGCATTCTCTCCCCCACCAAAAGAAAGAGAAAAACAGATAGATGTAAGTGCATTAATACTGGGGTAAGACAAAGTGCATGGCCCCTGAACTTCATATCCGAGTCTTTCAAATGTTCACTGGCCAAAATAAATGGGCGATAACAAAAAACATCTGGATAGCATTTGCATCTTTCAGTTGTCTCATTTGATCTTGTTTATTTTGCACTGTAATTTTTTCTTTTTTATAAACATGCCTGAATTTGTATGGAAATTTTAAGTAGCACATCAGAATCGTCTTCTATGTCTCTAGAAGTCAACTTGTTAAAATAGAAAAGCACCTAATCCTAATCATTATGCACTCCCCAACAAACTGAAACTCAACAGAAAATCACCAAGCTCTATCTTTTTTTTTTTTCTGAGCTGGAGTCTCGCTCTATCGCCAAGGCTGGAGTGCAGTGACACAATCATGGCTCACTACAACCTTCACCTCCCAGGGTCAAGCAATTCTCCTGCCTCAGCCTCCCAGGTAGCTGGGATTACAAGCGCCCACCACCATGCCCAGCTAATTTTTGTATTTTTAGTAGAGACGGGGTCTCACCATGTTGACCAGGCTGATCTCGAACTCCTGACCTTGAGTGATCCGCCCACCTCTGGCTCCCAAAGTGCTAGGATTATAGGCATAAGCGACCATGCCCGGCCTTATCAAACTCTATTTACAGATTCTGAAACCACAAGTGTCTTTGCTTCAGATTCTTGATGTTAGATCTCATCTCATCATTCATGTCAGGACTTGAAAGCCTTGTGCATCTTTTAGTAGCAATCAATGAAATGAAAAAGGAAGCTATGTCAGGTAAGCAAGGCATTAAAACCGTATCTATTTGATAAATTATGGGCATGAAAGGAAAGAAGACAAGAGGTCTGTAGAGGAAAAAAAGACAAAAATACAGCTTATGAAGCATACGTAGGCAGTGAAAAATAATTGGTGGCCGGGCGCAGTGGCTCATGCCTGTAATCCCAGCACTTTGGGAGGCTGAGGTGGGCGATCATGAGGTCAGGAGATCGAGACCATCCTGGCTAACACGGTGAAACCCCATCTCTAGTAAAAATACAAAAATTAGCTGCGTGTGGTGGCAGGCGCCTGTAGTCCCAGCTACTCGGGAGGCTGAGGCAGGATAATGGTGTGAACCCGGGAGGCGGAGTTTGCAGTGAGCCAAGATCGTGCCACTGCACTCCAGTCTGGTGACAGAGTGAGACTCCATCAAAAAAAAAAAAAAAAAAAAAAAAAGAAAAAAAAAAAAGGTATCCACTCCCGCCATCCACAGTCTTGCCAAACAGTGATGCTAAAATGACGATCAGGAAAGGATGGTTACTGAAAAGTGATCACTGCTGACATGGTCCCTCTGTACAACTCTGAATCTTTTTGCTACAACTGATCCTTCCCCACTGTAGATTCCCAGAACAATTCTACCATCGTGTAGCAGCATTCCCACCTGGATCCACCATCTGTGGATTCATTTTGATTCCCACGATTACTATTATGTAAGGAAGAGTTTTTTTGTGTGTGTGCTTTTTCAGGCTAATAAGGTCATTTGAAATGAAGAAATCTCAATTTTCAGAAACTTTCAATTATTTCTTTCTCTCTAAACAATAATGTCCTTCTCTTCGGTCTTGTTTTAGAGAAACCTCCCTCCCTTTTCTTTTGGATACTTCCTCTCTTCCCTGTTTCATCAGCTTTGGGGAGGGATATCTGCTACCGGGCTGATGATCAAGTTTCTGAGGTAATGATGGACTAGTCATTACGAGTAGGATGAAAAGAGTCTGCCTTGCGGATCATGAGGTCAGGAGATCAAGACCAGCCTGGCCAACATGGTGAAACCCCATCTCTACTAAAAACACAAAAATTAGCTGGGAGTGGTGGTGCATGCCTGTAATCCCAGCTACTCAGGAGGCTGAGGCAGGAGAATTGCTTGAACCAGGGAGTTGTAGGTTGCAGTGAGCTGGGATCGTGCCACTGCACACCAGCCTGGTGACACAGGAAGACTCCATCTCAAAAAAATAAAAAAAAAAATAAATAAATAAATAAAAGAGCCTGCCTTGTCTTCCTGTGGATTTTCTTCAGTTGGGATCTGGGTAGAAAATGTTGTGTAACTCTCTGTGATGGATCCACACCTTCTAGATCTTTAGGGTTGGACAGGAAGCAAAGATCATATTTCTCAACTTGCATCAGAGGATAGTGGCCAGGAGAGAAATGCCAGAAGAATCCAGACTCCAACACACTGTGGGAGGGGGAAAAGCTCATTTCCTTTGATCTTCACAATAAATGTAAAGCCCCAGGCAGGCAGAACAAGTATTTTCCCATTACATAGATGAGAAAATCAAGGGTGAGGGAGGTTAGAGCATTTATCAGAGGTACAGCAAGTAATGGTGAAGACGGGATTTGAGATCAGGTGACTTCAAATCTGGTCCTCTTTAGGACCAAAATGTCCAGAATTATTAAAAAATTCAAAATGAAGACAGCAGGTTGGACAAATCTTCCTGCAAAACAGCAGCACCAGGCATCTATGTCTGTATACTTGCCTGTGCACATCCTTCCACTCCAAGTTCAGGGAGGACATATTTGGCACAGCAGCATCAATAGTGTCTACTTGTTAAATTCACTCAATGATCTGTTATGTACTTTTTGGAACCCACTACACGCCCGGCACTATTTCAGATAATGAGAATATAATGGCAAACAAAATAGACAAAGTCCTCATCCTAACGGGGAATACACTCCCAATGGAGAACGTAGAAAATAGTGACAAGTGCCACTAGCAGAAATGAAGCAAGCTAAAATTAGAGAATAATGAAGGTAAAATTTAACAGAAATTGGCCAGGGGTGGTGGCTCATGCCATAATCCCAGCACTTTGGGAGGCCCAGGTGGGCAGACTGCTTGGGCTCAGGAGTTTGAGAGCAGCCTGGGCAACATGGTGATACTCTGTCTCTACTAAAAATACAAAAACTAGCCAGGCATGGTGGTGTGCACCAGTAATCCCAACTACTCGGGAGGCTGAGGCAGGAGAATCGCTTGAACCCAGAAGGTGGAGGTTGCAGTGAGCTGAGATTGTGCCACTGCACTCCAGCCTGGGTGACAGAGCAAGACTCATCTCAAACAAACAACAACAGCAAAAAGAACTTAACAGAAATTTTTAAATATTCAGGATGACCTGACTTGTTGGAGTCCTGAAGGAAGTGAGGTGATGGGGTGCAGGAACATCTCAGAGAGGAGGGATCCAGGCTAACCAGGTGCTTGTGCTCTGGGTGCCCATAGGGCCAGTGCAGTTGGCAGAGTGGGTGAGAAGGAGAGTAGGGTGGAGAGATGGGGGAGAGAAGTTTCGATGGAAAGGATGTGTCTCCCACAAATGACCTGTCACCAGCCTAGACTCTCACCCTCCTGGGGCTGGCGAAGTTTGGCTGTGCTCCTCTGTTATCGCTTGGACCACTGAAGAAATAAATTATTTAATTCTATTTAGTTGAAAGTAAGTTTCACAAATATGCAATAGCTAACAAAGGCAGGCATTCAAAGGCTACTACTTCTTTAACACAAATTCTAGGTCTCTAACCTCTAACTGGTGCTTAGCCAAGAGAATTCACACATCACAGCACCACCTTATATCTACAAGGTATATGCAGGCATTGGAACAATTTTCATATCCATTCATTGTCCCATGTGATTCCTCTGCATATCCCAGGAGAGAGGTGGGTACTCTCATGCCCTGTATATGGATAGATAAATTGAGGGTGAGGTTATGAAACCCAGTGACAGAACTGGGACGAGGACCTTGGTTTGCTGACTCTTGATTCAGGGATCTTCTACAATAGCTCACAAGAACTCTAATTGAAAAGATTTCTCATGGTTAAAGGAGGATAACCCTTTACAGATACACATGAAATCCACACTCATGTACTGAGCAGAGTCAGAGGGAATTTTTTTTTTTTTTTGAGACAAAGTCTCACTCTGTCGCCCAGGCTGGAGTGCAATGGCACAATCTCCACTCACTGCAACCTCCACCTCCCAGTTTCAAGTGATTCTCCTGCCTCAGCTTCCCGAGGAGCTGGGATTACAGGTGTGTGCCACCATGCACAGCTACTTTTTGCATTTTTAGTAGAGACGGGGTTTCACCATGTTGGCCAGGCTGTTCTCGAACTCCTGACCTCAGGCAATCCGCACGCCTCAGCCTCCCAAAGTGCTGGGATTACAGGCATGAGCCACCGTGCCTGGCCAGAGGGAATTTAACATAGGGAATAACTAGTCCCATAGATATTAGAGGACTGAAGACGTAAAAAGGGGATATCCTGGCAACACACAGATAGCTGCAGGGAACAGTTCTCACGCCTAGGACTAGAGAAGAAGGGGAAGCGGCTGGGGTTGATAGAACTTAGAGGTTTAGGGAAGAGGCCTCAAAGAGCTGAGCCTCAGACCTCAAGAAGGGACCGTTGCCCAGATGGGGCCAGGACCTCTGAGCTTAGAGGAAGGACACACTAGAGGGAACCTGGAAGGCTGGAGGAGAGGTGTCTTGATGCTTCCTATTTGCTGGTTGTCCCTGTTTGTGTCATCCCAGCAGTGGTGCTTCACCCTGGCAGTGGCAACTGGTTTCATTTTTTTTTTTTTTTTCCACTCCCAGAACAAGGCTCACCATGCCTCCTACTGGCAGAACCTAACAGGCAGCCACAGGGGAAGAAGGAGACTTCCAGCATCTCAGCAGGAACCTGGAAGCTGAGCGTAGGAGGGAGGTTTGGAGCTGAGACAATACCTCATAACCAGCACACCACCTGACTGCAGGAATTGCCAGAAATATAAGTGCCATTGTTTCCAGAGTATCCTGATGTGTGACTTTTCCCCGTCTGGAATTCTACAGCATCTGATGGTTTGT